GTATATATTTCCCATGTATATTTACATCTGCACCCTTTTTTTTACGTAATGCATGATCTGTGACGCATTTAATAATGAGGATTGTGTCCGCGCCCAGAGAGAGCTGCCGAGTCTTACTTTCAACCCGTGGTGACCAGAGGACACTCTTCCGTCAAAGAATGTCTGTGTCGATGAAAGTTATTTTTTTTTCCAGATGTTAAAAGTATTTTTTTTTTTTACCTCATACTTTCAGAGGCGATAGGGGTGTAATCCGGAGAGGATGCAAGTTGGATAAGTATAGACCTCGTTTAATGATGAGAATGATATAATGAACGTTAACAGGGTCATATCTATCTAAGATTATGAAATGCGAAATGAAAAATTCTACGAGTATCTAAAAGTATTCAGTACTGGGGCTTGCTTGACTTATTTCCAAACCCAGCAGCAGCATCACCCTTCGGCCAGAGGAGCACTGCTGGCCTGTTCGTTCATCCCTCTCCATTGTGCCTTCAGTCCAGCAATAGATCCTATGGTCAGTGCCTGATTATCCGCTAGGAGAAGTAAGGCCAATGTCTAAGGCCTAAATCTACGAGATCCTGGGGGCTTGCCGAAGTTAATCTATGTTTATGTATATATATATATATATATATATATATATATATATATATATATATATGTATATAATATATATATATATATATATATATATATAATATATATATATATAATATATATATTCATGTGTTTGTGTGTGCGTGTATGTGTGTGTATGTTGTGTGTGTGTGTGGCTGTGTGTTTGTGTGGGGGGGGTGCCTGTGTGTGGGTATGGGTGTGTGTGTGTGTGTGTGTGTGTGTGTGTGTGTGTGTGTGTGTGTGTGTGTGTGTGTGTGTGTGTGTGTGTGTGTGTGTGTGTGTGTGTGTTGTGTGTGTGTGCCTGTGTGTGGGTATGGGTGTTTGTGTATGTATGTGTGTGGGGGGTGGGGGAGGCGCTCTCGTGTGTGTTTAAAAGTTGTTCCCTGGGCGTATTTTTTCCTGTTTGCTTTTATTTTCTTTCCATACATCATCTGAGTCTTAAATGTCTACGAAAAATAAAACGAGGCCCCCCCAGATCGAGGCCCCCCCCCCCCTTTCCACAAGACCTTATGAAACAGATAACGGTGTAATTTTATTTTACAAGATCTTCAACTTAATCCCATTAATGCTTATCTACAAAAGTGATTTTTTTTATCTTTATGTATATTCTGGTCATATCAAACGTCAGTAAAACATTTTTTTTTTTAATATTTATACTTGTGGAGTACCTAATGTTATCCGCAAATATTCTGTCAAATGGGGCCCTGCATCTTGAAGGCTCCTGAAGCTTGTAAAAGAATTTCTCTTATTCTGTCTATGAAATCTTTGGCGTCTGGAATTTAGTAGTCCTTCTAACTCTACGAATTTCTGGATTATACCAAACAAGATATATGTTTTCATACAACTTTTCATACACAGTGTGAAGCTTCCTTTCCATTCGGAAGTTTCAGTAAGGAGGCATTATTTATTTATTCATTTTGGTAAATCCTATTAGATATACTTAAGAGCTGGGATATACTACAGTTCAAACGATGCAATTTTCTTCTAGTTACTTCTTTTTACCACCCAGCAGTCTGCTTCATTCTAACGACTATAATTGTTTGTCTCTCATATTTCATCAGATGTGGTTGATATCTGCATTTCAGCGGCTGAATTCTTCCGTATTTTCGACTGATCTAACGACTATAATTGTATGTCATATTTCATCATATGTGGTTGATATCTGTGCACTCAGCGGGTGAATTCTTCCGTATTCTTCCTTTTATGCATGAAATAGTATATTGATAACAACAAGGAAAATATGTTGGATATGATAATAGAGTAACCAACAGTATCACATAAAAAGTATATTCACTAATGAATCTAGCCACAAGGACACCATCATCACAAACGTTTGATATCATCATCCCGCCAATACTATATAACCTTGATCTCTGCAAATACTGAATGAAGTGTGGAGAGAGGATATAATCCTTACGCCTTATCCCATCTCAAGACGATTTGAGAAGAACTACAAGGCATTTACAAGTCATGGTAGGGTGCAGAATTGGGTGAAAGTACGTTATGCATATTATCGGTGTGCTCATGGCTTACTAGCTGTTCTGGATCCTTCAAGGGGCCACAATGCACTGCATAATATGGTTAACCTAGTGGGGCAATGGATGACAGAACATCCATATAGCTATGGTAGGCGAAGATCTATGTAGATGGTGGAGTCATTACTGACGAGGAGCTGATATGTCGACAGCTTCTGATGTTGATGGTAGATTTATCGTAACTAGAACTCAGGACTCTTACATAATGGATAACTTACCCTAGATCAAATTGCTGGACACAAAACCTTGTGGCATAGTTTTTGCATTTCATAGCCATTACCTCCAACATGGCTGCAGAGTTTTATTCCAACCTTAAAACATGCCTCTGACCGTCTTTTCCAATATTTTGTTTTCAATGAAGAAACCCTAAGATCACATAGTCCTTTCTGCTGCGCCTTTTTTTGACCGCCCCGCCCTCTGCTCCACGCTCGTCTATTACACAAATTTCTGCTGCTCGAAATAGATATACATAAGGCACATAACCATGAAACGCATTAAATAAAAGAAAGTAAGCTGTTGCATTCAGAGACTTTATTTCATTCTTAGTAGTGCCACGATACCAGAGGGTGTCGCGGGGCCAAGTTCGGGAACCACTGCCTTAGATATAAGGCCCAAAGATTGCTAAGCATTTTCTTTTATATTTCTCGCAAAGGAAATGAAAGGGGATGCTGAGAAGAAAAGTATAGAAGGACGGACCGACGACCTCAAGCAAAAAAAGCGGACCAGAGTGACGGAAAACGAGATTCCATCAGAATTTACTAAATCAGTCAGTAACTGACGAAGAAAAGGTGTGCAGTGGACTAGCAATTTCTTGTTTTTTTTCTTTAAGTCGAACTGAATGAACCATTGGCCGACGGTTTCACAGACCAGAAAAGTAGAATCAGAGGCGAGTGGGAAACAAAATAAACATTTGGATTCTTTGTTGTATTTTTGCGCTTATGATTTGCTTTACTATCAACAGTAACTCTAGATTTATGAAATGAGCGAGTGACAGTTTGTCAAGGTATATTGGCTGTATGACAGAGACACCGACTACGTGCCGTGATTCGCACGGCGAAGAATTGCAGCGACTGCAAAGGATGTACGACTAAAAAGTGGTGGAAACTGTATTAGTGTGATCTGCTTTAAGTTAATCCCTATTCAGCCCAGAAGCATACCCCTGACGCCCTTCCTTGCCAGGGTCTACCACAGCGAAAGGCCTCGCAATTTCTAGCATCCACTCTAGGAGTGCACCTCCTAGCTGAGTGAGTTGCATCTATCCTCGCCGGCAACATCTCAATAAAGCCTTCCCACACCTCCAGCCACACTTACCTGATCGGCAGTGCCCTGGGCTTCTCGTGCAAACTCAAGGATTCTCAAGGATTTAGGACATTCTGAACTTTTATCCCATGTTTACTAACAGCTTGCCCTCTCTGCTCTCATGGTTCCGTCATGGTTAATCTGACAAAATTCTTAAGTCTCCCGATCAATAGATGGGATTCCGAAGTAGGGCAAATATCCGATTCCCATTGTTCATGGCCACATGAAAAAACGTGATACCCGGAAGAGTGAAGCTCTTTAGTGGCACAATCGTCGTCTTGAAATGCATCAGTACAATATGTTTAGGCTGAGAGTTCGAATTGGGGCTTCTTATAGTCGTGACACCAAGCACGTTAGAGCCGAACAGCTCCGTGATCGTGGTCTCACTGGCTGCAAAATATTTGGGGTCAACATGAAGAAGACTTGGTTGTCCTAAAGCTCAAGGCTTTCTCTGCTTTCATATTTACTTATGTTTTCCCCATTCTTGTGCCGAGAAGATGGCATATACTGAAGGGAAGAATGCCGTCAGGGCGACCTGACCTGGCCTCTCAACCTCCCCACAGCAATTTCCAACGCTGCAGCTACTGTTAAAACAACATTAGTAGCTAGGAGGATTAGGCTTCGCCAGTAAAGTTCATCAGCAGATTGAACGGGCCAAGATCAGGCGTCTTGCTGAAGAAGGGCGTAGCACTGAATTCTACAAGCTTTTCACCATCCTGCAACTATTAAAATTGGTATCCCATTGCCATGTCTGCTTATACAGGTGCCAGTATAGGTATAGGACGCCGGGATCACACAGCCGACCTATCCAAGGTCTTATCTATAGCATGTAGTAGTTCTACCATATTCAGTGAACCTTCAGGTTGTGGCTGAGTTTATATGAGTATGACAAGGTGTTCGAGATGTTTGTATACACTCACGTGCGCGCGCGCACACACACACGCACGCACGCACGCACGCACGCACGCACGCACGCACGCACGCACGCACGCACGCACGCACGCACACACACACACACACACACACACACACACACACACACACACACACACACACACACACACACACACACACACACACACACACACACACACACACACACACACACACACACACACACACACACACACACACACACACTCTCAAACACTCGCACTCTCAAATCACTCACTCACCCATCACTCCCCTCCCTATCTGTCTGTCTGTCTGTCAGTCAGTCAGTCAGTGTCTGTCTGTCTGTCTGTCTGTCTGTCTGTCTGTCTGTCTGTCTGTCTGTCTGTCTGTCTGTCTGTCTGTCTGTCTGTCTGTCTGTCTGTCTGTCTGTCTGTCTGTCTGTCTGTCTGTCTGTCTCGCCTCCCCTCCCCTCACTCCAAGACGGGTGCCCGCCCTTCGTCATCTCGGTGCGCAAGCGACCACGCGGCACGAGTCCTCGTGATGTAAACAAAGTCAGCTGACTGACTCCAAGGGGGCGGAACTACGTATTGTTTCCAAGGTACTTCCTGTGCTTGATTCATGTGGAATGTTTAGGGCCAAGGGTCATGGGTCGACTATTAGAGTAGAGGTGTAAAGTATGGTAAATTATAAAGCAGATTCAGCTGTAGAATTGGGATCTGGAAATGGAAACTTCCGTTTTTGCATTTTAGTGATACAATTAAATGACCAGATTCCTTTTAAGATATAATTTTCAAGTAGTCACAGTAATGATCATGATGAGTTATCATCAACAAACTAAGTAATATAAGATTGGTAATTTTCTATATTACCTTCGCCTCTCCGATGTCAACCATTGTGGTATCGTTGGATTCCTCTCACTGTCCACATTGCAAATATATAGTTTTTATTGCGCGGAAACCCCCAATTAGTGACAAACTTGGCCCCGATAACGGGAGGGCATGAAAGGTTCCAGGGAAAATGCGGCAGCCCCCTGCAATGGAAAGTCATGTGAATAACCATGGTTATTTTCACTGTGGGTTATATTATTAGGCTAATTTTCTACATTACGTCTGCCGCTCCGACATTGTCGCCCCTGCTATCGGGGCCAAATTTGCTGCTAACGGGGGGGTTTCCGCGCAATAAAACCTACATATTTGGATTGTACAGAGTGAGAGGAATCCAACGATACCAAAATCGTCGATATCGGAGAGGCGAAGGTAATATAGAAAATTACCATAAGATTTATTACAAGCCAAAAATGTATGCATTTAAAGGTTTACTGTCTAAAATTAAAGGATAATGTAAAATGTGAGTATGCTACTTACTTTGGGAGTACATTCCATCTATGTAAGATATGACTTGCCTCCTATGTACAGGGTAAGATTAATAGAAATGATATGATTGAACAACTCCATAGCAGCAGAACGATCAGTGCCCTTACATGAATATGTAATTGCAGATAACTGAGATGAAAACATTGTCATTTTTGCATACATCAGTGTGCACTCAGTTTTTCTGTACTTTCTCTTAAATATTAACAAATTTGGTATTTATGAATTGCATTTGACATCTACTGTCTGGATATTATAGGAATGGAAAATAATATACATAATATGTGTGTTATGCGCTCATTTAGCGCCCTACGCACTAACATTGATTGAGATTGATATTGAGATGATAATTAGCCTTTTATTGATGGTAGGGACATCCATCTTTACCATAATGAACTGAGCTCAAGTGCCAGGTGGCAAGTATCTGTGCCAAACTGTGCTTTGAGTTTTTCACTTGAGTGGCTACCTGCGAGTACCCTGGCGCATGGCACAGTTTGTGCAGGAAAAACTGTCACCACTTGGTTAAGAGTGATGTGGTATTCGACTATGACTAACATTTCTCTCCAAAAAACATAGTATTATTACTTAACCCTCTCCATCTGATGCCCATTGAGGAGGCAATCTTCCCAAGTAGGCAGGTCATACACACAGACAGGTTCACAAGAACTGAGTGCCTCACACAACTCACCCTATGTGTCAGGATGCTGCACTCCCTTACTGCCTGTCCTACTGAGTTCAGTGAGCAGCCTCTGATGAGTGTTCACATACACTAGGCCCTGAATAACATTAGCAGAGATGTGAAAAGACACGCAGGTAGCAATCCATAATTTATTAGTAGTCCACAGAGTTTATTGGCAAGAACAAGTCACTTATGTTGGGGAAAAGCAGTCACCTCACACACACACAACTTTGTTACATAATTCTACCTCATTGTAACAGGATAACAGTTACTCTCCTTAGAGAGAACAACACAATCCAGGTTGCAGCTGCAGCCACAGAACATGCTCACACACACCATCAGTCTGCCACCCCTCAGGGAGCCAGTCATGGCACTGGAATCTCGCTCCACCCTTCGGCCAGAAAGTCATGCAACAGTGGGTTCTGATGGGCTTATTGTTGTCATCAACACACTCACATTGTTATAAATGCACTTCTGTAACAGTATGACTACTACCTTTGCATAAATGCTGCCCATCTTTGCCGAGACAAAGAAGGATCAGGTTAGCTTAAAGTAGGTCCAGTCTTCCTTTTAACTTCTGGGATTTGGTACGTGTGTGACCAAGTTGACCAATCTTTGTAAGCAAGGCAAAGATATTAAGTTAGTTTAGGTTAGATTAGAGTAGTGTAAGATGAAATATAACTTCTATTTATATCTGAACACTGTCCTTGCCTATTGATTAGCAGCCAAGATTTGTATTTAAAAATTTTGATTATCAATTTATACTAATTGTTTTATCAGTTTATATCTCCATGAAAACCTGGCAGCCTGCAAAATTTGTAAACTGAAACCAGTCTTATAACCCAATCGTAATTGTTACATTATTTCAGATTTCACATTCAGCATGGCAAGATGGCAGCCAGACACAATATATCTTCCAAACTCTTCCTTTCCATCAGGACCATTGTCTTTGCCCCCAGAACTTGATATAAGATCCACTGTAGCACCTCCTATATATAGGGTAAGTTTGAAAAGAATTTTTTAAGTTAAGAAAACTCTTCTCCAGCAAAATTACAATGGATAGAACAGGAAAGCACACATGACACATTTCTTCTATGGAAGCAATACAGTGGAAAGGCTTTTAGTGTAATTGTGTATTTTCATTCTTTTCCCTTCATTGTGTTAGATACACCTTGTTTAGCATGTGTTGACTACATCCTGCTCAATAGGTGGATGCTTCTGCAACATTGAATAATCAAATAATTTTCTTAAGATGAATCAATGACTTTCAGTTTTTTTACCCTTAGAAATACCAAGACTGAAATAAGTAGATTAAAGAATATGCCCCTAAGCAAACAACTGGTAACTGTAAAGGAAGCAGTTCTTTTCCTTTTTTATTCTTACACATATTTTCATTTCTATTCTTTTATATAATAGAATTTTCTCTAAACCAATTTATTTCATATAACTGTAAAAAAATGTTACAAATGAAATAATAATGTTTTTTGTTTCAAGGAATTCCAATAGCTATTGGTGTTTTTTAATATTTTAGACATTTCTTATTCTTTGTTATACAGGTTTTGATTCAGTTGCTAAAATTTGAAAAAATTGTAAATCTGATGTCAATCAGTAAACCTATTTATTGCATTTGATTATGTTTCATATTCTTGTATCATCTTGTATTAACTTTCTTTAAAACAAATTTCATCTAATATTACTCAGTGTAAAACTCCATGTATACAAGTTTATTAGTTCTTAAGTATACTAAATATACTCATAGCTAACTATAGTTTTGTTGTTCAAAACTGATAGGTTAAACTGTGCATATTTAAATTATCTTACAAAAAAAATTCACTTCATTAGTTTAGATAGTGATGGAGAAACATATACATAAAACATATTCTATTTACCTGGCAAGTAATATCCTCAACATTCTTACATGAAGAAACTTGCAGAATGAAAACATAAACCTAGATATGAGTTTTCATTTATACCTTCAATAATTTTCTGTTTTTAACTATGAATATAGTCTGTTTTGTTACTGACTTCAGATGTGTGTCTTTACATATTAAGGGGTAATTATTGATAGCAATTGAAAGTATGAAAATTAATCATCTTTGTATTAAAGATACTGTGTATGTTTCCATTATTACGGTGTTACTTATCCTCTCTAGGAGTAGGTTGCACATATTGATATTTTGCAATTCATATATCAGCAGCAATCTGATGCATATCTTCTCCATACAGCCCCTGACAGCAAGTAGTGTAAATGAAGAAATCATCCTACTTGCTGAATTTTCTGAGATCGAGGGCCCAATGCCGCTGTTGACAATCCCACAATGTCAGCCCTCACACTTGGACTTAAATGACTTTGTAGTGAAAGTGATGTCAACAGATTACTTAAACACAAGGTATTCATAACCAGTATTTGGATTTTGTTTCTAATAATAAAGTTTTACAGTGCTTAAAATTAAAATTAAAATGATAGTTATTTAAATATCTTATAGGTCTAAGAGCTGTATAAAAGTCCAGTGGAAAATATATCTCTGAAAAGACCTTTGACAAATGCCTATTTGTTTAGAAGGCCAAGGATATCACCTGAGATTTTTTTATGTATATTATGAAATTGCAAAAAGTTTTTTCTTTTATAAAGTCCATTTATAGTTGCTATTAATGTTAAAAATTCAATTAACCAGTAATGTTATGTTCATGAAATGTCATAATGGATGGCATCAAACAGTAAAGCCAACCAATCTAATTATATGGTCCCTTTATGTCTTCAATTGGTATTATCTGCAATTATAGTCACCTTGATAGGATATTTAATAGTGTAAAAAAGTGATTTGAAAATCTAAATGTGAGAAGAGAATGGTATATGATTACAAGTAACATTTGGTGCTGATATTAACTATCATAAACTTTGTCATATGTAAATATCTGAAGTTCCTACTGCTGATTTACAAGGTCCAAAGTGTGTTTACAGAACAATGAAGATTTATTATGGTATAGATAGCAAATGCTTTAGAAATTATAATTAAGAACTGATAAAATCCTATTTATCTGATAAATATTTTGTATATTTATCAATAATGATAGAGAAAATATTGATAATATTAATGATGATGATGATGATCATGGTGGTGATGAGATTTGGAGCAATTATGGTGTTACTAGTAAGGGTAAAGATAATGATGATGATAATCATAGCTATCCATACCTGTGACAATCAAGTTAAGTATTTCTTTCCATTTTCAGTGGTGAATTTCGTGTATGTGCAGATACCCAGATGGTACAACAGGATATAGAACCTGGAATACATGTATATGTACATTATTTCACTCTCTATGATGTAAGAGCACGAGGATTTGTTAGACCTATGTGTCTATCATACATATCCTCTGACTCAAGGAAGCTTCTCCATTACTTCTCCCATCTAAGATTGCATTTTAGTAAGGTTAGCCATTTTATGCTTTATTTTTAGGATATATCTTAAACTGTGTAAAGTTATAGATGAACTATATTTTTAGATATAGAATATTTTCCTTTCATTCATTCTTTTTTCAGGCAACTGAATATTTGAAGCTGAGCAACCTCACTCGATTCACAAACGAAATGCAGGAACTGATTACAGATCTTGAATACACAAAGGACCGCTATATCCAAGTTCAAAGGCAGTTTGTAAGTTTGGTTTTATATCATGTGGTTTCATCCTCACTAAGATTTGTGCTTTTACATTTTTTTCATATATACTACATTTTTTTTGTTTGTAGAGAATCATATTGTCCTTTTAAATAACAATATGAAATGGTCCCCTTTTGTTAAACAGAATAGAATGATTGTTTCTACTAGTATTAAGATTCAGAAGTTGGCTACTGTCATTACTGAATTTTGAGAGGTGTTGCAGAAAAGGTTTATGCAGATGACACTGATGGGAATGGTTTAAATAAATTTAATGTGATAGATATATCATTTAAAAGTTCTTTGTAAAAAGAATGTCCAATTGTTTTCTTCATGAAGTATTTGTAAAGCACCTAAACACAGTGGAAGCAAGAACATTAGCAATAACTTACTTCTTTTGCCAGCTCTTTGCACAGAAGTAAGTATCAAGTGACTGCCATCTCATTCTACAACACTTATGTGGTTTACAAAATAGATACTACATAAAAACTTTTCTTGAAATAGTATAGTTTGCCATCTTTATTCAATTAGATAAATTATGTGCATATGAAAAAGGCTATTTTACCAACAATACTCTAGACATACTTGCATTGCAATAGCCTGGATAACCATCATGCTTGAATTACAGTTACTCTCCTTTATATGTTCACTATCTATTTTTCATATAATATGAAAAATGTTTTAACTAGCTACCTATGCTTTCATATTTAACAGTCAGTTGATATGGAATCCAGCCCATTACCTCAAGAGATGGCAAAAACCCCAGAAGAGATACTAAACATTCAGCAGTTGTGCGCCAAAAATGATGACCAAACTAAAGTACAAAGAGCAGTAAGAGAAATATTTAGCACAGCAGCAGCCACAGGGATTCCCCACTACAATGGGGTTTTAGAAGAGGCTGTTCCTACAAGTTTAGCATCTCAAGGTTCAGACAAGCGAGACCTAGAGGAAGCAGGACAAAAACAGTGAGTTTGACTTCTGTGCCAGCATTTGCCTGTCTTGCCATTATCTCTTCTGATTATCATAAATACTTACTTACTTTTAGGTATGAGAGATAACATTATTTACATAGTATGGACATACATTTATTTAATTTGCATATTTTTCAACTGTATAATTACACTTTTTAAAAATATTACTGATATCTTGTTGAGAGGCCAAGAACATTTCTTCTGTAATGTTATTTTGAAAATTAGCTCATATTATCTTTTTTTATTATTGTATCAGTCTCTGTAATTTCTATTCCTGAGTTATTGACAGCATGGGTAGCCAGAAAGCTAAGTAGAAGAGTAAACAATATCATAAATTTTTAAATGCTTTTAGCACATATATTTAAATCATTGTTGAAACCTTATTCTTTATTTCATATACTCTTAGAAGTTCTTATTATTTATCTTGAGTCCTGGATGAGAATTGCACTACATGAAAATAATTTTGCCAAGAAAAAGATTTAGGCTACTTAGATAATCTTTACATTATTAAGATCATAACAAGCATAGGTAAAAATGTTTATTTTTACCTCATGGGAAAACTAATCCAAAAAACTTAAATCACATCTTGGCAAGGCAGTATATTATTCAATAGTTTGCCCTTTTGTCTGGTTCCACAGTCACCTGGAATAGATGAAGTTCCTTGGATGAAGCATGTGGCAGTTAAATCAAGGGTTATCTGTAGCTGCTGCTCCCTATTTTTAAACTAGTAGCCAGTGAGCAAACCAGCAAGGCATGCAGGATATTTAATTGTTTTTTCTTTTACTGTTCTTATAGAAAAAAAAGTATTGTCAGGAAAGGAATTAAGCAAGTTTAAGAGAAATGAAAAATATGAGGATGATAAAACCCAGTAGTATTTATAGCATGTGGTATTTAAGTATTAAGGATAATAAAAATGAAAACTTCCTATTTATGATTTGCAGGTGAAGTCAGTATTTTTCTTAACTAAAATCTGAAATGGGGTTCCAGATCCACTTCATGTGTGAGATCTCTGACCCCAGTATCATGCAACCTGTTAAGTCCAGATGATGATGAAGAAGCGCTCTTAAAACATACATCACTGGAAGCTGTTGCTATGCAGCTTATGGAGTGCCAGCATATTATGGACATTGTGAAACCTCATATGGTAAGTCAAGTACATTGAGGCTTGTGCAGTGATATACAATTTTGGTTTATATAGTTACCCCTATCATTGTCATCTTTGTTATTATTATTTTTATTATTGTTGTTGTTGTTATTGTTATTGTTATTGCTATAATAATAATAATAATAATAATTATTATTATTGTTATTATTATTATTATTATTATTATTATTATTATTATTATTATTGTTGTTGTTGTTGTTGTTGCTATTATTGATATTATTGTTATTGTTATTATTGTTATATTTATTGTTATTATTGATATTATTATCATTATTATCATTGTTATTATTATTATCATTGTTATTATTGTTATTATTA